ACGTAGGATCAAACCCCCGTGCCATTGTCCTTTGCGTCTCATCAGCCCTCATTGTTTGCCATGTTCAGAGGGTCCAGTTTTATCCCATGCTTTTTCAGTCACAGTCCAGCTGGTCCTGGTGAGCTCTCAATAGATCAGCTCCACTGTCTCAGTGGGTGGGTGCATCCCTCATGGTCCCGACTTCTTTGTTCATGTTCTCCCTCCTTCTGCTCCTCATTGGGACCTTGGGAGCTCAGTCCAGTGCTCCAGTGTGGGTCTCTGTCTCTATCTCCATCCATCACCAGATGAAGGTTCTATGATGATATGCAAGATAATCGTCAGTATTGCTCTAGGGTAGGGTCATTTCAGGTTCCCTATCCTCAACTGCCCAAGGAACTAACTGGGGACCTCGGCTTGGGCACCTGGGAGACCCTCTAGGGTCAGGTCTCTTGCCAACCCTAAAGTGGCTCCCTTAACTAAGAATTGTGGTTCCGTGCTCCCCTGTCCAACCTTCCTTTATCCCAATCCTCCTGTTTTCCCAAGGCCCAACCTCCTTCTCTTCTAACTTTTCTCTCCCCATCTCCCCTTACCCCCATCCCACCCCACCCCCAAGATCCCAATTTTCTCCCCGGCAATTTTGTCTACTTCCCTTAGCCAAGAGGATAACTATATGTTTTTCCTTGGGTTCCCCTTCTTATTTAGCTTCTTTAGATTCACCTATTGTAGACTCCGTGACCCTTATTTATGGCTAGAAACCAATTATGAGTGAGTACATCCCATGTTCATCTTTTTCGGTCTGGGATACCTCACTCACGGTAGTGTTTTCTATTTCCATCCATTTGCATGCAAAATTCGAGAAGTCATTGTTTTTTACCGCAGCGTAGTACTCTAATGTGTAGATATTCCATACTTTCTTCATACATTCTTCCATTGAAGGGCATCTAGGTTGTTTCCAGGTTCTGGCTATTACAAATAATACTGCTATGAACATAGTTGAACAAATGCTTTTGTCATATGATAGGGCATCTCTTGGGTATATTCCCAAGAGTGGTATTGCTGGGTCCAGGGGTAGGTTGATCCCGAATTTCCTGAGAAACCGAAACACTGTTTGCCTACATACACACAGGCGTTATTTGGAGCTTTTGGCCTTTATCAACTCATTCTCCACCATCTCCACGCACGATGAAGCTGATTGTCTGTACTCCCATGCTATAGAAGAGCCAGAGGCCAGAGGTATGAAGTGACTTGCACAGGGCTGTTAAGTATGTAGTAGAGCTGGGACTGGAATCCTGGTGATTTAGAGTTCTGGCCTGTGGCTTTGACTGTCACCTCCTGTGTTTTTCTGACAAGCTGGTGGGAGGGAAAAGCCACTATCCCTGCCTGCACAAGTTTGTGAAGGAAGTACACCTTGGTTTTTTTTATTTGTTGTGTGTGGGGAGGAGTGCAGTGAGGGATGTCACTGGCTAGAGCAATGGTGTGTGAGGTGGAGAAGGACAGAGGCCTGGCTGTGAGGCAAAGGTGCCCAGCTACAATCCATACATTGCTCTGACCACTGTGGTAGCATCATTGCCCGGCAAATGGAAAGCCATTCTCCTGAGCCCAGTGTCTACCTTCAAGTCACAGTGCTGTGTTTCCTTGGAGGTGACTTAGTACCTGGGCTTGACAGGGAAAGCCCTCACACTCCATGTCCTTGAGAGGTTTCTGGAAAGGACCATCCTTCTAGAAGAGGCAGGCCCACACTGGGGGCAAAGAAGAGCTCTGAAGGAAGATGGAGGAGCAGGGTCACCCAGTGGCCACCACCTCAGTGCAGGGATAGGGCTGGTCTCCATACTGCTCAACCCTGTCGAGTGTTGTCTGGCCCACAGGACTCTCATTAAGGACAGGCCTCTGTGACCCCTGACTTCCTGAATGCTGGCTTCTCTGTGACCCCAGGGTCAAGCCCTCTCAAGCAAGGGCACACTATGGACCTGACTTACCAAGTCACCTCTGCCGATAGCACTGAAAACTTCCATAGCACAGGGAAAGAAGTGTGATGCCAGGCCTCATGGTATTTATGGTTTGGTCAAATGTTGAGAAAAATGCTCAGAATGCTCAGAAAAATCAGCTGAGTGGGCCGGGGCCTCTCGTGACTGCATCTCTTAAATTTCCTGGATCCAAGCATTATGGGAGAAAGACCTCAAAAGTTTTAAAAAAATGTACTCTTTGGATATTTACACAGCAGGAAGCCCCTTTCTTCTGGAGATGCTTATACCTTTGCTTTGCAATCATTGCTGACAGGTTCAGAGGTCTTCTGGGATTTGGGGTGTCTTCTCTTTCTTAAAAAAAAAAAAAACCACAACAAAAAAAGAAACAACGAAAACAAAGCAAAACAACAGAACACTAAATTCCACGCAGCTGGAAGACAGGCACCGAGTGCTTTCCCGACCATCCAGATGAATTAGCCACCCCGTTACCTGACTTCTGCTCCTCTCTGACTGTTACACTCATTTGGGAACAGCCGTTCTTGCTTGTTTTTCCTCACTAAGCTCCCTGAGGCCAGGAGCCTGTTCAGCACTGCAGCCCCAGCACAGTAGATCCCCAGAGAGTCATTTGTAGATTTGATGAAGGCATGCGTAGGCTTTTCAGTAAACAGGAGTAGGTGGGACCGGGGTCCATTCTCCTCACAAGCTGTGGTTTGCTAAGATCTGCGTTTCAAGGGGTCTTGTGCTGGGAACCCAGTCTCCAGTATGCTCCTGGTGTTGAGAGGTGATGGGGCCCTTTAAGAGGTGGGACCCAGTGGGAGGTGGCATGCTGGCCTCACCCCCCTCTCCTCCCCCTGCTTCTTGTCTCCCCTGTGACCTCTCCTTCATCCAGGTATTGTAGCCAGGGGTGTCATCCTCCAATGAGGTGACCCAGGCTAAAGGCTTGTTGTCAAAGTTGGGGCTATGCTTGTACCTTCTGTCTCCCTCATCGAAGCAGCTCTGTGTTGCTTCAGGTTCTTCATCACAGTTGTGACAAACTAGGAGGCAATGTCTGTCTGCAGGGCCCCAACCCTCTGCCTGGGGCTCTCATTTCCTCTGCCCCACGTCTCAGACTCCCCAGGCTAGTTCCCATCAGTCTGTATTCCCTATTTTCTAGTTAGATGATGACAGTGACTTAGTGGATGATGACATCATCTAGTGACGATGGCAGTGGCTGATGCTAACAAATGAGCCAACCAGGCTTTTTGCTTGGTGCCAAGACTGTGCTGAGCTCTTTGTGTGGTTTTTCCAATGGCGGCCCTATGTGGGAGATACCATTCCTTCTGTGCACATGCAAGGCGAGAGGGAGGTTGGAAACCAGGGACTCACAGAGCTGAGGCTGGTCTGCACAGGGGACTGTGCATCCTACATGCCTGGGTCCTCACCTGTCAGTACTGCCCCCCTTCTGAATCAATGGTGGCTATCATGGTGGCAACCTCAAGCGAGAGGGAGGAAAGCTGCCACCATGGTGCTAGGGAAGGAGAAGCTCCCGGGATGGTGATCCTACCGAGTATCGAGATACACTCTTCCACCAGAGTGGACTTCACAGTGAATTTCAGAAAGAGACAGTGTGCAGAAACCCAAAGGCAGGCATAGGCTGCCAGTCTACCTGCTTCTAGGTCTCAGTGAAAAAGGAGTGGCAGGCAGAAGAGAAGAGGTGGAGGGCCGGAGGGCAGGATACTGATCTCCAGGCTAGAAGGGAGTGACCATGACTGTGGCTGACTCGGGCAAATGAGTCAAGCAGACCTTTTGCTTGGCTGTTTCTAGACTGGGCTATGCTGTCCTCAGCTGTGCAGAAGCAAGTTAAGTTTCAAGGGAAAACTAAGTTTTCAACAGTTGAAGCAAGGGCCTGGAGCTGTAGCCCAGCTGGTCGAGTACCTGAGTAGCATGCACAAGGCTCTGGTTTGGATCCTTAGCTCCTAAGGTTTGGGTGTGGAGGTGGAAGCAGGAAGATCAGATGTTCAAGGTCATCTTCTGTTCTTAGAGAATTCGCGGCCTGCTGGGCTACTTGAGATCTTGTCTTAAAGAGAAAGGGACAGTTGAAGCAAGCAGTCGCTGAAGCGGTGACAACCAGTTCCCAGGAAATGCCAACGACATCTCAGGGTGTCATTGTGCCACTGTGCCCCTACCCCCTTCCAGCTCCCCGGCTAAACCCTCACATCCACTCCCGCTGTTCTTGGCCTCCTTCCTGTGTCTTTCATCAGCCTGCCTTCCCCTCATCCAAACAAAACCAGGCTTCATTCTGGATGAGCCCCTTGGATTCTGGGAATTCTGCAGTGATTGACTTGGAGGTAGCTCACAAGGAGAGTAGGAGCTCAGGCTTCTCAGCCCCTCCCTTCTGGAGGTCCGACTCTAAACAGAAGCTGAGGATCATAAGAACAGACCTTGCTGGGGGTTAGAGGGAACAGCTCGCTGCCATGCACTCTGCCTGCCTGTGGGTCTGAAGTCCATAGGTGTTGGCAGTCCATCTTTCTCCTCCCCCAAACAGCGTGAGACTCCTTGTCTTTCAGGATGATTTCTGTCACAAGCCAAAGCATCCCCTGGGTTAGCCCATACACCAGGCTCACTCCAACCCGGGCTTTTTGGCTTTTTTTTTTTTTTTTTTAACTTCTACATGTGCATTAAACTTCTGCAGGTGGGGATAAACATTGCTTCCCGCACAAAACAGACAGCAAAAAAAAAAAAAATCACCCCTTATTATGTATAAAGCACAGACACCGTAAGAAACACACTGTGTGAAAACAGGGCAGTGCTCTGTTCATGGGGGAGGGGAGGATTGTTTTAAAAGGTTTAGGAGGGTCGCGGTAAAGATTGGGAAACATGAATCTGACCAGGGACACATGGGATCTCAGAACTGGAACTGGGTCTTGGGAGCAGTGTCCCTACCCCTTCTGCCAAGCCTTCCAGACAAGGAGACCCCGACATGTCTGTTTTCCTTCTTCCAGATCCACTCACTTAGACTTGCTCTCAGTGGGGGTTCTGGTGGCCTTGGCTTATTTTCTGTGGTTTTCTTCCCTCTAGCTTTGGCATCGCTGGCTCAACCAATGTGACGGGGGATCAGGTGAAGAAACTGGATGTCCTTTCCAATGACCTGGTTATCAATATGCTGAAGTCGTCCTTCACTACCTGTGTTCTTGTGTCTGAAGAGGATAAACATGCTATCATAATAGAGCCCGAGAAGAGGGTGGGTCCGTGTCTGCATGCTGAAGGCTTGCATGTAGCCATTTTCCTCTCGGACTGCGTGCAAGATTCTATCTGCTTCTCCAAGTTAGATTTTTAGGGATTACCCAGGCTCCCTCAGTTTGGTTTTCCTGCCCTCCCAAACCTCTGAACTCTGTCCCAAAGGCTCCATTGATCCTGTTCTTCCCACTTCTCCACGTGTCTCCCCATTCCCGAGTGGTCACTACTGTGTTTAGGTGTCTTCAAAGCCTGGCTTGGGCTAACTGCCTCTTCAATGCGGCCAGTTCCCAGACCTCAGGCACTGGGATTCCCTGGAGGTCGGATTGCTTTGTGCGGGCAGAGAACAAGAGATAGCCTGTGTGACCCAGTGTCTAGCTCCAGTCTGGCATGCTGTAAGGCTCAGTGACAAACAGCTGGGGGAGGGTTGGAGCAACCGCTGGGGAAATGTCCAACATTGCAGAGAGGCTCAGGGATTTGAACACGAGACGTTACAGGAAAGGGTTTATCCAGCTCTTATAAGACACTGGCAGCCAATAACACAAACCCGAGACTAGAAGCAGTTACACTGTCTGTCTTTCCCTGATGAAAGTGTGCTGGGGCCGTGGACGAGTAGCCCTGGGAAAGACAACCAGAAGCTGATTAAATGTTCAGCTGTGTTGACCTTAGTAAGGGGCAGGAACCAGCCAGGAGCCATGCGCTCCGCAGCAATGGGCTCCACAGTGATGCGCTCCACTGCCCTTCTAACACATTGCTGCATGCCACACAAGTCCTGATCTTTCTGGCAGTCTTGGCCACTTCTCCAGCACTCCCACTCCTGCTGCGACAGGCCATCACAGCGACTGCAGTCTCATTTTCCTGCATCCATGGCCATGAACAGTTAAGGGCAAGCAGTCAAGGATTCCCTTAGATCTGGGGAGGAACAGTAAACACCCACCTCCACATGCACACACACACACACACACACACACACACACACACACACACACCTAAAGACTCTAACTGGAGATGGAAAATGAGTTGGTAAACTGGCTCCCCTGAAAATTTTCTCCAATTTGTTGTATTTAAAAAAAGAACTTAAGAGTATAAATGTTCAAAGACTGGACTGCCTGCTTGGAGTCACGGATAGAGCTTGGAAGACCCTGTTTGGGGAGCTTGAGAGCTGGGGCTGGCCAGCCCAAGTGTGCACTGATGCTTTGTCCACCACCATCCAGGGCCACTTCTCTCCAGAGTCATATCAGGGGTGTTGTTGAGAAATCTGTGCACCACCTTTCCATGTACTGCCTCCCACGCTGAGTGACAAATGTCTTACAGACTTAAGTGCTAAGGAGCTCGTCCCTTCCCTTGAGGCATTATTTCTGTGCCTTACAAGTAAAGAGAAACAAATGAGTATTTTTTGTTTTTCTTTCTTCCTTCGGCTGCCAGGACACTCTCAAACCAAAATCATGATTCTGCTATATCAGTGATGTAGTAAGTTATGATTTAATTATTTGCATTCTATCCCTTCTATACTTTCTATTTTAAATGTTTTCTCTGCCTGAGATTTGCCTGTCTGTCTATTCTTCCATCTTCTGACAGAATATCACAAACAAATAAGATCATATATCTCACCTTGTCCTTGAGAGTTCATTCAATGTATACTTACCTTGTTTGCATTTTGTTTTCTTTGCCCAGGGCAAATACGTTGTCTGTTTTGATCCTCTTGATGGCTCATCCAACATTGACTGCCTCGTGTCCATCGGAACCATTTTTGGCATTTACAGAAAGGTAAAGTATGGTGTCCAAAGCCCCTGGTTTTGATCAGAAAATGAATGCGGAGCATGGAGCTGTGGGGCTTGAATAGATTCAAGGTCTCATTGCCCTGCCCATTCTGTACAGAAGATCCACAAAACTGCTAAGGACAGTCATAACATGTGGGCGGAAAAAGAGACCACCTCACTCTTTCAGTTGCATCTCTCTCTTACAAAGAAACTGAGATTTAAAATCGACAAAAGACATGCAATGACGACCTCCCCAGACCAGCCCAACCTGCCTTCATCAGTTTCTTCTTTAAGCCATAAGCTTCTTAAAATGATCTTTTCATAAATTAAGAAAACAAAACCAAAAAAATATTTCCCATGAGACAATTCACCTCTCTCTAATCTTCCTCTAGAAATTGGCAGCATCCTTAAAAAAAATATTTGGTCCCCATAACTAAGAATGGAATTTTAAAAGGAATGGTTATTTGCCCTTGTGAGGGAAAGACCTTGGCAATAATCCCACCCATTCCTGCCTGACTTTTTCCTCCACCACCTCAAGTCTCCCAAATTGACAGTGTCCACTGTGTGCTCCCTATGGGGTGACATGGAATGATACAACCCAATGCCTGTCGCATTGGTGGCCTCAGTAGAAGAGAGGCAAGGCTCAGGCAGTGCTGGCTTTGCCCAGTGCCTTGCACTTGGCAGTCCCAGGCAGCTAGACGGCATGCACTGGACTTCTAGGGGAAAGGCGTTCATTGCTCTGAGTATTCGGGAGGAAATGTGATCAAGAAGGGTTGTTATTGGCCAGGCTAGGAACCTCTGGTCCAGAGATTCTCCTGAGTGTGTAAACATCTCAGTGAAGTGGCCAAGCTCCTCATTTTAAGGGCACAGAAGAGAACAAAGGTGTTGGGTGACATAGTTCAGGGAGGGACAGGAAGCTTGGTGCAGGGTATGGCGAATCTATGTGGAAGCCTCCTGGGTGGAGAAGCAGTTTCTGTAAAGGCTTAGGGCAAGGAAGGAGAGGTAGTTAGAGGCCTGTGTCCCATCTTTGTGCCTCTGGCTTCTAGGGAAGAAGGTTATTATTTTAAAATGACCCAAACAAGTAATCTATATGACAATGGTCATTCATTTTCCTTTAGTGACACATTGGCCAAATTTGCCATTTAGAGAAACCAACTAAAAAAAATCTTTTTTCTATTTCTCACCAACCGCTCAGCCTCTGCTGGCCTCCATTCCCTCTCTAGTTCTCTGAGGCCAGCTTTAAAACGTGCCTCTTACACTGGGCTGTGGGGGAGAAACGTCAGCAGCATCTGGCCTGTCCTCTAATGACCCCAGAGAGATGCCACAATCTCTATTTCTGAGAATTTCTTTGATGTGGGAGTAACTGACCACACTGCTCAGGGATAGTGTGTTCCAACTGACTGACGGACGCACAGAGAATCAATTTTCCCCTGAGATGCTCAGCCCTGCAGCCTTGTGCTAATTTGTTTAAATAAAGATGGAAAAAGCAGGTAAAGACACTGGTGCCCGTAATCAGGTTACATTAGCGGAGCTGGCGGGAAGGCGTGCTGTTTTTTGGAAGCGATAATGGAGGCACGAGGGAATATTAAATTAGGAAGATGTGAAGGGGATGTTGATTGGGAAAAAGGATCTTGATGCAGGAAGCTGGGGGTCTTTCAGGAAGGCTGTGGTAGTGATAGGATCAGAACACTACTGTTGTGAGACAGGAGGCAACCTTTGGGATGCTGCGTGCTGTCCCTAGAGGTTCTCAACCTGTGGGTCAAGACCCTTCCGAGAGGCACATATTGGATATCCTGCATAACATATATTTGCGTTAGGATTCCCAACAGTAGAAAAATTACGGTTATGAAGTAACAGTGAAAGTAATTCTACGGTTGGGGGTCCCCACAGCGTGAGGGGCTGTATTAAAGGGTCACAGCATAGGATGGTTGAGGAGCAAGCATTGCGAGATCCCTGCCATGCATCCTCTTGATGTTGAACTGGAAAAAAAGAACCACAAACCAAAATGAAAAGACATGTTTTCTCTTTTGCTTTAGAAAACTACTGATGAGCCTTCCGAGAAGGACGCTCTGCAGCCAGGTCGAGAACTGGTGGCCGCTGGCTATGCGCTCTATGGCAGTGCCACCATGTTGGTCCTCGCCATGGACTGTGGTGTCAACTGTTTCATGCTGGACCCGGTGAGACATCTCTTAGGTTGGGTGCTTAGCTGGTAGCTTTGAGCTTGTATGCAGTTTGTGTGTGTGTGTGTCCCAAATGCATGGTGCCTATGGAGGTCAGAGGAGGGTGTTGGATCCCCTGGAGCTGGAGCCACCAGTGGTTGTGAGCCATCCAGCATGGGTGCTGCAAACCCATCACTGCAAGAACAGCAGTGCCTAACCATCTTTCCAGCCACCTCCCCCCACCTTCTACAGACAACAACAAACCACACACACACACACAAGGCATGAAGCACAGCATGGTGCCCTCTGGAAGAGGCAGTTCACTCTTGAGAGGGCTGGGGGAGTGTGTGTGAGGTGTGGCAAACTGCCTTAAATCAGAGCCTGGGCTATCTTTGACCCTTAGCGCTACTGCACTTTCACCTCCCCGGGAGCACGGGCACTTAATAAAAAAACTAAGGCCAGAGCGGAGGGCGACAACAGAAGTCTAAAGTCTCTGCTTGAGGCCCCAGGGTAAATAGGGCAGGCCCAGAGCGAAGTTTAATCTGAGAGAAGGGTGCAGCTTCTGAGAGCACTGGCGTTTGCCGAGTCAGCCATCCGGATTTCCCAGTCGACCTGCCCGGCTCCTGGCGCCCTCTCTGCTGCTTTGGAGTTGGCAGACCCAAAGGGAAAAATACTCTGTCTCTTGATCGTGGACAGGCTAGTGGAAGGGTGGGTTTCTGGGTACCGGGGAGCCTCCCTCCCTCCTCAGATACAGTCGTTTGCTGCATCAGCGCGGCCGCTGGAATGTTCCCTTGCCGACTGCCTGCCAGGGCTCCTTTTCATTGAACACTTCTGCTTGCTTTCTTTGGCCTGATGGAGGCGAGGTTACTCCAGGGAGATACCAAGTGCCTCCTTCTTCCTTTCATCTCCCTTCTAGGGCACATTGATGGCCGAGGTCATTGCTAGGATAGCTACCCGTGGGTTTCCAGCAGGCTTCAGCTTTCAATGAGCTTTTACAGCTCCTGTCTCAAATGTGGGAGACTCTTCTTTACCCACTAGGGGCTAAGGCTGGGTACAAGATGGTTGCTTGGGGAGCTGGGCCGCCTGAGCTCGGCAGGCAGCTCTGGCTCCTCGCTGTGAGAGTTTCTTTTCTAGACATTTTAGGCGGAGATATTTATTTTGCTTTTCTGGCTCCACAAAAATATTCCTATAAACTGATTGCCCAAATTTTTGGAAATAAGAACCGAAAAGCACAAACGTAAAAAAGAAGAGATCCCTTGCAGCGATGAAGTGTGACTGTGGCTAATCCCTCCCCTCCCCACTCCCTCCTCCCCTCAACATTTCCTCCGTGAGCTCAGGAGTGGGTCTTATTCTCACAGTTACTGTTTTCTGTCTCACACACTTCCTCCCTCCCTGCGTCTGAATGGGTTTTCCTTTTTCATTCTTTGACAATTTCATATTTTCTCTCCTCATTCCCTCCCATTGAAACCTTTCTTCCTCTCCGATTTTCTTCCCTCCTCCCCTCCCTGAGAACCACTGAGTTTAAATAGGGAGGCTTGTATGGGCACGGACAAGGGCTATTTATAGGGGCATGAGCAACTTATCAATGACCACAACTGTGGGGGAAAGGCCGCCTTCTTCCTAGGAACCACCAATGACAACAGTCCTTCAGGGAGGGCGGGGCCTGATAAGCCCCTCCCTTAAACTCCCAATCCCCTTGCCTCAGCCTCTCTAGTATTGGGGTTTGAGCTGTGCCCTCCCAGGTCTGACCTTGTAAACTTTCTTGCTTGCTTTGTGGAAATCATTTGCATCCATAAACCCTGGCACTCTTCTACTCCCTCCGTCCCCTCACCACTGGAGCCTTTGGCTGCAGACACTGCTCCTGGGATGGGGTGTGGTCTCAGGCCAGGCTTTGTTCATGCCCCGGGGGAGCTTGCTGGTCATTTGTCTACCTTTCTCCCTCGTTTCAAAGGCCATTGGAGAATTCATTCTGGTGGACAAGAATGTGAAGATCAAGAAGAAAGGTAATATCTACAGCCTTAACGAGGGCTATGCCAAGGACTTTGACCCTGCCATCGCTGAGTACGTCCAAAGGAAAAAGTTCCCTCCAGTGAGTGAGTAGGCACGTGGGATTGCTGTGGCGTTGAGCTGGGGGAGGAGAGCCCTTGAGAGGGAAAGGGACACTTGGTCTTGAGAAGGGCCTGGACTTCGTCTGGTACTCTTGCTTTATGAGTAAATCTACTGATGGGAATTATCCTGGAGATGAAAGGAGAGAGAGGTGGAAACCATTGAACCTAGGTGCTGGGGCCAGAGTGTTTGCTCGGAGACACTGAAATCTGAGTATTATTTCCTTTTTATTTCCAAGCTTGCTCTGGACAATAAAGTCCACCAGATGAGCTCCTTTACAACAATAAAACATTTGTATTCTGGTGCCCTTGGTCCCCAAGCACCTCCCACATGAGGTCTGCACCTTCAGGCCTATGTCCCTGATGGATCTTGGTCTGTTGTACCAGGAAGGCCAGCATCAGGCAGAGGAGATGATTCAACGGGTAAATTTCTTGCTTCACAAGCATGGGGTCTGGAGATTGGTCTTCCAGGTCCAGCTTACAGGAGCCCTTCCTGTAACACCAGGGTAGTGGGGGCAGAGAAGGAAGCTTCTGAGGACGGCCAAATCAGACAGCTCTGGGGTTCATGGGAAAGATGGGACCTTAAAACATAAGGTGGAGAGTGATGGAGGAAAACACCAGACAGCAGCCTCTAGCTCCCTCATGTATGCTCCTATATGTGTATTCCCACAAACCCATGCACATGAGAACATGTACACACCTTTCTGCACGCCACCAAACACACACACACACACATGGTGGACAGTGACTGCTTTGGTGCCTCACTACAGAGGTTGCTAGTTAGTGAATATGAAGAAGAGAAATGGCTGATTGTTGAGGAGCTCTCTACGGGTGTTGGATTTTGCCTTACCATTGCTGCCCTTTTCTGAGGATGAAGCCCATATGTTAGCATGGCATCTCGGGGCCTCAAAGCTGGCCCCAGGCTTTCTCTCTAGCATGGTTCTCTCTCCTCTCCCAGGCACACTCCCTGTTCACATGCATGCCAGCAAGCCCTGTGACAATAGCACTTTTACGTCCATGCTGTCAAACCTTTGCTTGTACCAAGTCCTGTCCCACAAAACATGCCCAGTTCTTTAGCTTGACAAGGTCTTTGTCAACCTTCAAGTTAAATTTTTTGTATTGTCTGGAACCAACCACACTTCCTTGGGGCTAGTCTGGAATGCGAACTGTCAGGAGATATTCAGGAACTAAGTCCCCATTATTCCCTTCTTCTTCTATGGAATGAGATTGTCTTAAGCTTTACCAATACTATAAGGAGATACCATGACCGTGGCAACTCCTATAAAGAAAATATTTAATCGAGGCAGCTTGATTACAGTTCAGAGGTTCAGTCCATCATGCTGGAGAGTGTGCAGCCAGTGACACATTTCCAACAGAAGGTGTGGCCCAGATTAAAGGGGTGCCCTCCAGCCTCAAGATCTGGATTGAAACTGTGTGTCACCCAGCCTCCTCCCAACAAGGCCACACCTCCTAATAGTGCCACTCCCTATGAGTTTATAGGGGCCAAATACATTCAAACAACCACAGGCATTTTCATCTCATGTCCTGCTCAGCTCCAAGTGGGTGTTTTGTAAGACACTTGGGAAGTGACTGTGGAATGGGATAAGCATCAGAGACATGAAGGGGGCACCCTCTGTCTTCCACGGCTCTAATTCTTTGCTGCTCTTAACCTTATAGGATAATTCAGCTCCCTACGGTGCCCGGTATGTGGGGTCCATGGTAGCTGATGTTCACCGCACTCTGGTGTATGGAGGGATCTTTTTATACCCTGCCAACAAGAAGAGCCCCAATGGAAAAGTACGTACATGCCCAAGGAAGAGAGCAACAAGCAGCAGGTTTTGTTTCCAGCCTGGGGATTTGACGGCATTAGGTTGAAGGTCACGGAGCTGATGAAGTCCCCTGTGGTTGCTTAAATGTCTGTGACAGACTCTGGACTTGAGGCCAGGCCCAGACTGGATCAATGAAATGTGAAAATGTCTCACGAGGGCCTTCCCAAAGCTGTAGCAAAAGAGAATCAATGGAACTCCAGCAGGGGACTAAAAGCGCTCAGAGCTTCCAGGGGGTATGGGCTTGGCTTGCACAGAATGGGTTCCATTCATAGAGGGAAATGGAATAGTCCTGTCTCATTACCAAGACAGCAAATCAAATATGCTTTGCAGAGAGGGGTCTGCTTTGATGACTCCCAAGGGGCATAACATAGAAGGCACTAATGAGCTTGGCATTTGCTACTTAGAAAGTGATGTTGTTTGATGAGGGACAAGGCTGTGGGGAAACCAGGGCCCCCAGGGGAATTCTTCCCACTGACTCTATTGGCCTTGTTATGGCCAGCTCTCTAGTAAGTCACAGGGCTGGTGTGCCTTCTAATGCTGGCTTTGCTTCTTCATACAAGGTGACAAAATGCTTCCTTTTCAGATATTCTGTCCTCTCCCCCAGCTCTCGTTTTCTTGTAACAGTCTCACATGCGGGGAGGCTGTGTGAACTCCTGATCCTCCTCTGTCCACCTTCTAAATTTCTAAAGACTGGGTGGTGTGAATCACCGTGCAGGGTTTTACACAGTACTAAGGATCAAATCCAGGGCTTTGTGTATGTTACACAAGCGCTCTTAGCAACTGAGCTACATCCCCGGCACCTCTTAATATACGAAAGAAGAAGCAGGAGGAGCAGTGCCCTTAGGATGTCAGGAACAGAGATGGCGGGTCTGGTGGGTCTGCTCATGGCTCAGGGTGTCTGCTTCACTGAAAGCAGTTTTCTGTGTTCTTAGCACACCTGCTTTGCTCTGACAGCCTGGAAGTATCCAGTCAGCTTGCTTCATCACGCTTTCCTCAAGTGATCTACTTTCTTTTTCTTTGCCAGAAATGTGGAGGTGCCTCCCCGTTTTCAAGTCTGGCCCTGATTCCCATATGGAAACAGAGGCAGAAAATACTAGTGCAGTCTGTCTGCTCCACAGGCCAACTGCAAGAAAATGTGCCCAATAAAAAAAATTAATATTCAAAAGCAAATACCAAGATATACGGCAGACAAAGTCCCAAGCCTGGAGCATTAGGTGGCTTGAAAGAGCAATGCTCAGGGCTGCAGACAATAGTACACTGTTTGAAGGAGCCAGTCTGCCTTCCAGATGTCTGCAGTCAGACACCACTGTGGATTTAAAAAAAAAAAAAAAACGCCTTAAGAACAGACAGCGCTCCATCCAACACACACGGAATCACTCATTAAGTCCAGTCTCTGGCTGTAAAGAGTACTGCCAAAATGTCACTCTGTCCCAGATCCAGGTGGTCTGCCTCATGTTTGCATCAGGTGGTTGACTAGCTCTGGCTCCATGAATGGTTTTATTCAACCAAATCGTTAATGGTTCTGTCTCAGATGCATTGTGGGGCATGAGAGAACTTTCCTAACTTAGAAGGAGAGAGGGAGAGACAGGGGAGGGACCGAGGGAAGAAGAAAAGGAGAGAGAGAGAGAGAGAGAGACTCCGTTACCATGGAAACTTCCACCAACTCTGCAGAGCTTTACAATAGAACACCACCCCCCCCCCCCCCCCCCCCGAGATGGTAACACCTTCTGGCTGAAGACCTTGGTCTCTGGTCTTGTCTTCCAGCTGAGACTGCTGTATGAGTGTAACCCTATGGCTTTCGTAATGGAGAAGGCTGGAGGAATCGCCACCACGGGGAAGGAAGCTGTATTAGATATCATTCCCACTGATATCCACCAGAGGGCACCAGTCATCATGGGGTCCCCTGAAGACGTACAGGAGTTCCTGGAGATCTACAAGAAGCATGCAACCAAATGAAGGCTGACCTCGCCCTTGACCCCAAGCAGAGCCTTTTATCTGGACCTCAGGCAGCACTACCCCATTCTGACCGTGTAACAACAGACCTAGTGGTGTGGGTAGTTTCACAGTTCAGTGCTTTGAAATGCAGCTGCATGCTATAATGCCATTATAGCAGGTGATATGTATTTTGAGCAGGTGAAGGAGAAATAAACACATTCTTCCTTTATAATTTTTTTGTGCTTTGTATCAACAGAATATTAGGCAAATCATTTAATCTCCACCACAGCTGCACGAGCATAATGCTATGCTGGGTTCATTTTTATCCATGACGGAATGGAGGACTGAGGGTTAATGAAACCAGCTGAAGATCTCTAGCCTATGAGTGATAGATAGGGCTGGGGGATGAACGATGCATCCTGGTCACTAAACTGAGTTAACATCATTTCTTATATGCGCAGTCCTGTTCCATTCTGGCTGTTTTTGCCATCCTAGAAATTAGTGAGTGTCTAGCTTCTCCACCTCCTGCAGGTGTCTATAATCACCCAAGACAAAATGGCAGTCTATGTTACTATTCAGTGGTGCTTTTTATGCAAGAGTGGCTTTTACAACAAGACCGTCTAATCTCTAGGGAGGGTCTAATTGTCATAATGGAAATGATTGACCATAAGAACTAAATTTAAGGAAACAGACTGTGTGTCAAGCAGATATTTTTGCATCAGGAGCTTTCCTGAGAGGACCTGTCATAGCTGGTCCTGTGCAGATGGAGTGCAGTGAGAAATACACCTGCTTGGCACACAGTCTATTTTGCACATGGTTCATTCCTTTCTGGATCAGAAGTTCAAGATTGTGGAAAGTTATAGCAGGTGTTAGGAACATTCTACCCTGTGTGAGCTGTGTGTGTGTGTGTGTGTGTGTGTGTGTGTGTGTAAAATGTGCTTTTTCACTTGTGAATGCTACACCAATTCCATATTCTTCCAATAGAACTGTTGTTTCAATCATAAGTCTTGGATATGCTTTTGTTTGCTGACCTAATTGCCTGGTATCTTTTGATTGAGATGCGGGTTTATTTAATGGAATGCTTTTCAAGAATGCCTATTTGTATCCTGAGTACATCCAAATTTTTCTCTGTTTTTAGCCCTGAGCCAAGAACAGATCCAGAACAATAGCACAAACGCCAGTTCTCTTCTGATCATCTTTTGATTGAGCCCTGGAGGTTTTAGATGCTGTCTTTGGATAGACGAGTTGCTGGGACTCACTCACAGTCACATGAAAATGAATGAGATTTAGTGTAGTAATATGGGGCGGCAGGGCTGCGTCCCCCACACCCGGCCGCCCACATGGCTAGCTTATGCTCCGAAATAACAACACACAAACTGTATTCTTTTAATCACTGCTTGGCCCTTCTGCCCTAGCCCTTACTGGCTAATTCTGATATCCCGATCAACCCATCTCTAATAATCAGTGAGCACCGGTCTTACCGGGAAGATTCTAGCCTAGTCCATCCTGGGTCGAGCTTCATGGCGTGTGTCTGCCTGGGAGCTGGGAGTATGGCATCTCCCTGAGGCGTCTGCTCCCGAGAGCAGAGCGGTGGAGTCTCTGACCTCACTTCCTCTTCCTCCCAGAGTCCTGTTCTGTTTACTCCTCCCACCTATCCTCTAACCAATAAAATGGGCCAGGGCAGTGCCTTTATTAGCCAATGACCTTCCTCCATCATTTCCCCTTTTTTGGTTTAAACAAAAACAAAGGCTTAAACATAGCAAAATTACATATAACAAAACAGTTATCAAGTAAAAGTTACAATAATCTTTATCATAACTAAGGAAAACTATAACTATAACTAACTATTCTTAACTCCATCAAAGACTCCAGAAAGATATATTACCTAAGTAAACAAGAACTAAGAAACTTAGTTCTAGAAATGACAAAGACATCTCGCTGCCTGGACAGTCACCCAAAGTTCTTTTGTACCGTTGGGGCATCCATCTTCAGCCTTCAGGCCCATGGTATCCAGCAGACATTTCCATAAAGCAGGAAAATTCAAAGTCAGTTCAGTCACTATCTGTTGTGTCCTGCAGAATGTCTCGCAGACTCTTTCAAAATGAATCAGGAACCCCAAAAGATCATCTCACCTTAGGCAAGTTCAGTAGTCCTCTCTCTGCGGGTTCTCTGTGTCCAGTTTATGCAATAGTCCAGGCAAGAGCAGTTTCTTGCCCAAATGGCTATCAAACTCCATAAGGTGCCTCTTCGATGCCCATCTTCCTCTTGAAGTAGATTGGTGCTGCCAGGAGCAGACGTGTCTCATTGTCATGAAAAGTCCTATTCTGTAATCTTTGAAAGACATGAAGAATGTCTATCTAAAATATATCTCTATATATCTAGAAAATCTAATTAACATGACTACAAGCTTTACTATTATCAATGATTATCCATTAACAACCTATATTTCTTAATTATACAGTACATATTTAAATGAACTACACAATCACAATACCTTAATCAAAATCAGAAACACTTATACATATAACAAAACTGACCTTAAATCTCTATCAATAAAGCAAAATCTATACTAATGCAAATTATTCATACCTATATCATATCCCCCTTTAAATGTAAAAGAACATTTATAAACATTTTTTGGGAATATGGGCGCAGTTATTTCTCTCCAAACTGCTTCCTGCTGAATGGGGGCGTCGTTAATTAGGTCTTTCATGGTATAACCTGTGTGCTAGTTTTATCTCAGTTGGCAGTTGAGCGAAGCAATTTTCTGAAGGCGTGCACAGGAACCATTCAGGAGGACGTGGTCCATCATACCAAATCGGAATAGAAGAAATGAACAGCGTCTCATCCTCTGTGAAAACAAAATAAGAAACTCCTTTCCAAAGTATCATATCCTTAGATCCAAATTCATAATATCTATGTTGGATTAGTTCAGCAGTATTTATAAATAAATATCTTTTAGCATCTGTTTCTCCTTCCTCAGCATTTAAACAATTCAAAGAGAGCATAATAGCATACAGTATCAAAATTCTCTGTGTATTTTCCATCTTTGTGCAGCTTTGTTTTAACCTCTATTTTGTTTATTTTTACTTTTAACTCTTTGCTTTTTGAGACAGGTTCTCTGTATCTTTGACCTGAAGTAACTCTGTAGACCAGGCTGTCTTTGAACTCTCAGAGATCCGCCTGTCTCTGCCTCCCAGGCATTCAGGATTAAAGGTGTACACTACTACACCTTGAACTCACAGAGATCTCTTTGTCTCTGCCTTCTAGGCACTGGGATTAAAGGCATGTGCTACCACACACAACAGCTCTCTTCCTTTTTTTATGTTTTTTACTTTAAGAACTTTAACTTTTAGTCTGTATATATTTTTAACACACAGTAAACCATTTAGAAATTTTCTTTGTCTTTGATTCTCTCTTTACTGTATATCTCTCTTTTTCTGGCCACACGAGTCTTTAATTTACCAAGCAATATGGGTAGGATTAAAGGCGTGGCTTTGTCGGCTGGATCCAGCCCATTCCTTAGCTTTCCAGCCTCATGGCTGAGGTACTGGCTGTAGCCAGCAAGCTAGCTTCAGCAGCCTGTGTTTGCAAACCTCAGGGACCGCCTGCATAAAAGAGTCAGTTTGTCCTGGCAGGACAGCCCAGAAAGCCGGCATTTTTAAACGGCACAGCTTTTTTCCTGCTACGGCTGAAAACTGAAAAGCATGTGTTCAGCTTTTCTTCAACACCGTTTAAGTGTTTCGTGGCAGGACCTCTTAATGAGCTGCAGGCTTTGCAGCTGAAGCTGAGTCAGGAAGCCTCTCTTAGATGAGGTGCTTTCTTGCCTCTAGCAGGCAGAGTAGAACCGAGAAATTGCTGCTACCAAGAAACCAGGCACAATGCTTTCATTTTGTTCTAGAATTATTTCCCAAGCTGTCTCAGGCTTTATGTGGAAGCAGTTGTCCACGTGGGCGCCATATGTAATAATAAGGGCGGCGCGGCTGCGTCCCCAGCACCCCGGCTGCCTGCTCAGCTAGCTTATGCCCCGAAATAACAACACACAAACTGTATTCTTTTAATCACTGCTTGGCCCTTCTGCCCTAGCCCTTACTGGCTAATTCTGATATCCCGATCAACCCATCTCTAATAATCACTGAGCACCGGTCTTACCGGGAAGATTCTAGCCTAGTCCATCCTGGGTCGAGCTTCATGGCGTGTGTCTGCCTGGGAGCTGGGAGTATGGCATCTCCCTGAGGCGTCTGCTCCCGAGAGCAGAGCGGTGGAGTCTCTGACCTCACTTCCTCTTCCTCCCAGAGTCCTGTTCTGTTTACTCCTCCCACCTATCCTCTAACCAATAAAATGGGCCAGGGCAGTGCCTTTATTAGCCAATGACCTTCCTCCATCAATTTAGTTTCTACAGCGTGGGCTTGCCCTGAAGTGAAGGGTCCTGCTACTTTCAAACACACGGCATCTCCTCTGCAAGAACCCTTGAAACCTCCCCTTGCACAGTAGGCTGCCAGGTCTCTCTGCCTACTTCTTTAGCACTAGCAGAAGCAGGAAGTATCATGAGATTCCATTTCCCATCCACTGGTCTTGGTTTGTTCTTAGAGTTTTCATAGCTATGCCTCTCACCTTCCACACAGAAGACCAGCAGAGGGTGCATTCACCGTGCTTGCGAGAGGGAATCCTTCAGATGTGACTGGAAGCCGTTCCTGCTTTGACTTTGTCAACAAGGGCAGTTTACACACAAGGCATAGCACTGGTCATTGGATGAAATAGGTCAGGCAGGGCAGAGACGGAAGGTCCACTTCAGCACCATTCATTCCCAAAACCTTTGGAGTAAGTGCAGCCCAGTCCTCAGCCTCAGATGTGAGAATCATTTCAAGATGCCTGTATTGGTTCAACGGTTCCTTCTCAGAAGACATGCTCACATGCAAATCTTGGTGACCGGCCCATGCGACGTTATGTGAATAAAGGGTCTCTGCAGATGTGATAAAGCTGAAGATTTTGAGATGAGATCATCTTAGACCCCATGGGTAGGCCCTAAATAGAGCCGGTGTCTTTATAAGATCACACAGGAGAAGGGCACTGTGTTAGTCAATTCTCTAAAGGAGCAAAACGGAGACTGGATGCATGTGTGGGCATGGTGCGCACACACACACACACACACACACACACACACACACACACGTGGATTTACAGGAGGGGCTTACAGGCTGTGGTCCGAGTAGCTCACTAATGGCTGTC